GTGATATTTACTTTGCAAGAATGAATACTGCAAAGTGAAACGAATTTTCTAGATGTTGTAGGTAAAACTGTAGATCATATATAGATCGAACTATAGATTACTTGTGGTCTCTACTTCCTACACTTAGTTTTCACTATTATTTTAAGTATTTAAACTCCTCATTTTTGTCGGAAATTTTGTCTCACTTACAATTTTGTTTTAATATTTTTCTGTGATTAACTTTTTTTTTTCATTTAAAGATTTCGCTTGAGTTTATAGATCATATAATGAAAAGGTTTTATTTATTTAAAAACTTTTTAGAGTTTTTAGGTGTTATGGAATATTTAAATATTTCTTAGGCTAGGCGAGACTATCGTTATTTTGACGCAAAATCAAGTAAAAATATTCTCAAGTTAAAAATAGTTCTCTATTGTTTTGCTATTGTTATTTGTAACAATGAATAGCGCGGATATTTTGGCTTTTAAGCAATACGTTAAACGTCCATCTATTAATAAGTACTTGATCAAACAAATTTATTTTTTATGGTACAATACCGGTATCACTTGGTACGGTAAACAACAAAACACAGACGGTATTTCTTGTTAAGGGAAATAACGGAAAAGCTATTCACTTGAAGGAAAAAATATTTAAATATGGTTTCTAAATGCGAAAGATGTGCTCGTAGTTTTGCGACACTTAAGGGACTAAAGGTTCATAAAGGTCAATGTAAGATCTTTGTTCTAATCACAATTAACCAAATAAACAATGTAGTTAACAATGATTTAACAATAGCAAATGGAAACAAAGTGGAAATTGGTACGATACTAAACTGCAGTGAGATACCTGTGGAACATTATTTAACCAACATACCCAACGTACCCAAAATAAATATTTGTGAACCTATTATAGATCCCAATCACCATCTATGGGGTTATATACCGTTTAGCTTACACTCAACTATGTCAAAATTATATACGATGAGGTAGCATTTTATCATAAAAATGTTTTTAAAGTGCCATCAGGAAAAGGTAGTAAAATGTTCATAGAAGAAATGACCTTTTGGCTAAAACAATTTAATAATCAAACAAAATTGAATGGAATTGCCATAAAATGCTTTATGATAATTACTTCAATAATTCTACAAAAGTCCTCAACACGGTCCAAAGCCAAAGAGCATGCAGAATTTTTAGTGAGACGAATTACTTTATGGAGGAATGGGGACTTTAGTGAACTGATGCGAGAAATTAGATTTATAGAGAGCAAAATTAACACCTCAAAAAGAACATTTGAGGATATCTCTAGGATATTCGCAAAACTAATGATGGAAGGTAAAGTTGCTGCTGCACTAAAGATTTTAGATAGGGAGTCATCAGGCATTTTGCAGTGCTCCGAAAAAGTATTGAAAAAATTGAAAAGTAATCACCCGAACAAATCTCCGGTACAACATAATTGTTTATTATATGACCTGTTACAAAACACTCCAGAATGTCTTTTTGATTCCATTGATGAGATAAGGATATTTAACTAAGTTTCACGAACTGCATGCAAAGATCTGCATGTCTTTCTGGCATGGATGCAGATTTCTACCGTCGAGCCCTATGCTCTAAGTGTTTTGGACCCTCTTGCAAGACTTCTTCGAGAAGAAGTAGCAATATTTACAAAAAATATTGTAACAAAATAATACCATCCTGATATAGTTCAACCCTATATTGCTTGTCGATTAATTCCTCGGACAAAAATCCCGGGATTCGTCCCATAGGAATAGGGGATACGTCCCATAGGAATAGTGTTACGAAGGATTGTCGGTAAAACCATAAGCCAATACTGTCAAAAAGAAATCAAAGAAGTTAATTTATAAACTCAAATACTACGGAATAAAAAATAAAATTTTAAAATGGTTTAAAAGTTATCTATCTAACCGAAAGCAATTTGTACCATTTAACAATGATTACCAACCCACTTTTCTTAACATAACTTGTGGAGTCCCACAAGGTTCAATTTTTGGACCTCTCCTTTTTTTAATTTATATAAATTACTTAAATAAAGCTTCAAAACTAACAAGCATTATGTATGCAGATGGTACAATTTTATTCCTTTGTAACAATGATATCGATGAACTTTTTAAAACAGTGAACGAAGAACTCAGACATATATCTAATTGGTTCAAGTGTAATAAGTTAACCTTGAATACTAATAAAACAAAATGGGTTTTATTTCATTTGATTACAAAAAAGCGATTTCTCCCATCTAAATTACCTCAAATCTTCATCGATTAAAAAGAAATAAAAAGAGATTTTGTTATAAATTTTGAGGTGTTTATCTTGATGAAAACATTTTTTGGAATCACCATATTGATTATATAAGCACAAAAATTTCTAAAAATTAGAGCATCCTATATAAATCACGAATCTATCTCAATAAGAAAGTCTTAATCCAACTCTATTATTCATTTATACATAGTTATTTAAATTATGCCAATATTGCTTGGGGAAGTACAGAAAAAGATAAGTTGCAACGTCTTTATCTCCGTCAGAAACGCGCAATCTGTATGATCAATTTTGCAAATCGCTTCTCTGATTCAAAGCATTATTTTATTGAAATGAGAATTCTGAATATTTACGAGTTAAATGTATTTAATATTTTATGTTTTGTGTATACGTGGATAAATAACTTATCATTAGCCGTATTCAAAGATCTTTTCTCTTCTAAACCAGTCAGTAAATATATTTTGAGAAATAATAACTTTTTAAATGAACCTTTCTGTCAAACAAACTTTAATCAATTTTGTATTACCTATCGACCGCCACACCTTTGGAATAAAATCGTTTTGGCGAATTTTAATTTTGAAGTTCCTATTACTTTTTGCCTTTTTAAAAAAACTGAAAAACCTCATTCTTTCATTAGATAATATATTGAGTTATTATTAGTAGTAAAAGTTAAAAATATACTTTCGTCTGTTTTTTTGTTTATAGAAGTTTATTCCTACTTATTTTATATATTGTTCTTATACTTTTTACTTTTTAATTTATATGTTGGTTTACTCTTGTATAAAAATCTGATGAGAAGATCCTCTTGCTTTTTCTTGAGACACATTGTTTGCCTTGCAATTTTGTAAAAGTTTATTTTTTTTTTATCTCATCTTAGTTAAATACTCTTTAAAGGTTCTGACGACAAGATCCTTGCGATCTTCTTTCAGATACCTTTTTTATGTTTGTTATGTCATTGTAAATTTATTATTTTTATTATGGGTTATTTAAGCTGTACAACGATTAACAAATGTAAACCAAAAAAGAAAAAAAAAAAAGCAGCTAGACCACTACAAACTTGCGCAGGACACGGCACAGGATGTATATAACCCTGAGTGATTCATAATATCTTTATCAGATCTTCCAACAAAAAAAAGCACAATAACACGTTTTAATTCCATGGCACTTAGTACATTTAAAACACACAGTTTATTAAAATGCTTGACCACATATCTCAACAATAACCTAACCTATTTTTTTGACGAAATGGAACTATAAATAGATTACCACCTATCCTGAATGCTTGTTAAGATGGTTAAAAATCAATCGCAACACAAACGATCTTACAAAATCTTCTTACAAAAACGATCTTACAAAAAACGATCTTCAAAACAAAAAAAGAGAAAACATTGTACTGATTTTCTCGAAATCCTTCCGGTTTGTACACAACTATTTCACATTGGCAATAAAAAAACGATTACAACGAGTTGTAGCTAGAGATAAAGAACAAAACCGTTTTACTCAAACTATACATAACAACATAGTAGGAGGATGTCTTATTAGGTAAACGTGACCATCAGAAAAGTATTGTTAGAAATCAATTTTAAGAGAGTTGCCATGAATGTCAGCGTTCTAATTCTAACACATAGATGATCCAGGTCAAATTCAAAAAATCCGGAAAATTGTTAGAAAAAAACAGGAATTTTTTTCCCCTTATTTTCCTCTTAATTTTCTTTTAGCTGAGTTGTATCTCAATTTTTTTGAGAATTTCTTTAATTTTTGTATGAGTGATGACTAAAAAACCTTAAAAATCAAATATATTACACAAATACTTAATACTAAATATACTTAAACTTGTATGTATAGAAAACCTTTTGGATATCCGGAAAAACTAATAATCTTGAAAAATATCCGGAATTCCGGGAATATCCGGAAAAAGATAATCCCTGTAACAACAAACCATTACCTGCTACGTTTCATCCAATCCCAGTATACGATATTTTTTAGCATTTAGGAATAGATCTATATAATCCGTTAAAAGAAATTAAGAACGAAAAAAGTACGAAGACCAAATATCTAACTAGATGAGCAGAATTTGATTTCATTGCAGACGAGGATTCGGATTTTACTTATTGCTTCATTCTTCGTTTGGTATTTAGATACTAGAGTATCGTTGAGGACAATTATTCGGTAAGAAAAACTAGAACCTAGACTTGTTTAAACCAACAAGTTTCCTTTAGTTTACTGTCTTGATAAGGGAAAAATTATAAGTGCTCAAACCTGCTTAGGAGGTTGCTTCAAGCCTGCTGTTCGTACTATTAACGTTTAAGAGGTATCTGAATCAAATGCAAATATGTTTAGATGAGAAGGAACGTTAAAAACATTTAACATTTTACACATCTTGTATTTTATATCGTTATACTTATACTTTTTATTAAATTTGATTTCTTGATATCCCCCCCAAGTACCCATAACCAACTCCATCGACAGAAATAATGCTTAAAAAGTTTCTGATGCTGTTGATATCTTTAACTTGAGACTGAATTTTCTCTTATAGCATTATAATACAATGTTTACCAAATAAAAGATGCGCGCATGAACATCAAATACACGGAAATTCGGAGCTGTGAAAAGATGCATTGTTATAAAGTTGCAATGTTTATATAGTATTTATTGTTTGCATAATTATAAATAATTATAAAAATGTATTACTATTTACAAAAATAACACTCCCAAAATTTTTATTTATAACAGCGAGTAAAATTACAAGCTAAATATAAAAAAATAAAGCTAAACATAAAAAAATACATATTTACAAACTATCAACAATTATCTAACTATTTGTGATGTAAAAATCCATACTTTCATAAAATTCTTTTTATGATAACAAAATCTCACTCGAATGTAATAAAAGAACAAACAGGACAGTCTAGTTTTTCCCTTCCTTTCAAATCTAAAAGTTCAACAAGAACAAGGCAAGCCAAAACGTTACCCCCTGATTTACGAACTAGTGCGCACGACGAAATCATCGTACCTAAATCGAACCATAAATTATTATTATAGTATATATATATATATATATATATATATATATATATATATATATATATATATATATATATATATATATATATATATATATAAATATATATATATATATATATATAAAAATATATATATATATATATATAAATATATATATATATATATAAATATATATATATATAAAATATATATATATATATATATATATATATATATATATATATATATATATATATATATATATATATATATATATATATATATATATATATATATATATATCAGCCCTCGGAATCAGGGTCGGCATTCGGTTAGTACCGAATGCCGATCTAACTGCCGATCTAAAAGTGTTTGAGGTCAGCAAACAATTGCCGACCACGTTTCTATTAGTGATTTCGCCGGTTATCCGGTTTTGCGGTTAACCGGATTTTGTTTGAATATCAAATATCTATTTTCGAATAATAAAAACCGACTTAAAAATTTTATAGAAAGTAACATCGTAATTATGACGATTATTGTTTGACAAATGTTAATTTATCAAAGATTATAATATATTTCTTTTATTAATTTAAATGTTAATTTAATCAGTTTTGTTTAATAATATATTCTTAGAACAATTTACAATAGAAATCTCAAAGATTTACTTATTACTTTTACGACTCAAGCAATACATTTTTAAGAAAGTTTCTTCAGAATATTCTGGAACTCTAATTCGCCTATTCAGCGTATTTTTTGAACCAATAGAACTTGTTTATTCGTAGATTTGGCGGTATTTTAGTGTTCTTTACGCAACAAGTTGTTTTGAGAACATTCAAGTTTATCTATGTTTCCATCTATGTCCGCATAACAATAAGTTTTTAAAATACACGCTAAAAAAATTTACTTCATAACATCTCATTTTTCCAAATCAAATGTTTTTATATGAGAGAATGATTTTAAAACATCCGCTGATATTAAAACATTTAAACTATACTTGTACATTATTCCTACCTTTTTTAATTATATAATTAAAAAGGTATATTATATTATAATATAAAAAATATATATATCTTATTCCATGTTTTGTTATAAATATATAATATAGGAATGTATTCACTAACTGTCTTGAAAATGTACACTTTAACATTAATTTTTGGAAAATTAGTTTAAAACGCTACGTTCGTAGATCCTGTATTCAGAAAGTGTCACTAATAGTCGGTTAACCGCAAATTGATGAGAACTGTTATCCGGTTTTTGAAACGGATAACCGACGAAATCACTATATATATATATATATATATATATATATATATATATATATATATATATATATATATATATATATATATATATATATATATATATATATATATATATATATATATATATATATATATATATATATATATATATATATATATATATATATATATATATATATATATATATAATCATTTTAGATTTATATTTTTTGAAAACATATACCTGATTATATTATTAACTTATATTCTATAAACGGATAAAAATACACGATTTCTAGTTCTGTAACATCGAACTCCTATTCCAATTATTTGGAAAAACTATACTTTAATGTTTATACGTGTTGAAAGTATAATATAAAATGTTAAATAAAAATAAATGTAAAAAAACATATATTTGTAATAATGCACACTGAGAACAAACCTCCTGTCGCTAGAAGATCGTCAACAATGATAACATTATAGCCCTCACTGATTCCAGAACATTGCATTTCTAAGATATCCTAAAACATCAAATTATGACGTCAAATTATGGGAGTTAAAAAAAATCTCAACAGTTGCAAGATCTATTTAAAAGTTTTCATACTATTATAAGAATTCGAATAAAACACTGTTTAAATAAATATTTACGCTTCCATATTCCTTAGAAGATTCAATAGAAATGCATTTTCCAGGAAGTTTTCCTTTTTTTCGGATCGGTAAAAAGGGTTTTTCTAAACTTAACGCAATCATCGGACCAAAGAGGAAGCCACGAGCATCTAAACCTGTAAATTAGAGTTCTATATTTCACAATTTCATTATTATATTATTTGTTTTCACGTTTCAATTATATTTAATTTTATTTTTTTTACCAACAATTGCATCCACATCGGCGTAATGAACTTCAATATATGCAGCAATCATATCTATCATTGAAGAAACTGCCAAAGGAACACGGAAAATTGGCATTATATCCCTTTAAAAAATTTTATAGACATGCAAAGTCTTGTACACCGTACTTTAAAATTACTTTCGACTTTCTCAGAAAAAATAACTAACCTGAATAAAACCCCTTTTATTGGGAAATCTTGTACGGCTTCAATCAATGATTTTAACCCAGCTATTGTTTTTTCTGGGGTTTCCCATTCTTCTTTTGCCCATGAAAGGCATTCAATCTTCTCAACCGACATTTTATTAGAAAAATGCTAAAAATAAATTACACAAATGAATAACTTCAACACAACGTTTATCATGCACCTTAACACAACGTATAGCACACGCTTTTAATTATACTCAAACTTTTAACGTTGTTTAAAACAACAAAATTTTTTTAATATTAATTTATACTTTAGGTAGTATCTTTTTCACATATTTAAATAATCAATATTTTTAAAAATCGCTATTCCTTCAAAAAGCTTCTTGGCATTGTTTTCATTATCTTAGCTTTGCACAGCTGCATAATCACCAGATGTTTTTAACAGCATTTTAAATTTAATAAAAATTAACCCTAATAAAAAAGTTGATCAAATTTCTTTTCTGAAAATCAATACAATTTATTACAAGTTATTTTATACGCATTAATAACGCAAAAAAAATAACAAAAAAACAATCAGCTAGCCTATAAAAAAAAACTAACTTTGAATAGCGTTTGGTATTAACTTATTAGCGTCAAACAAACCCGTTTTTATTAACCAACTAGGATCTACTATACTTAAGCCTCTCATATATCTCTTAGAAGTATGCACAACTTCACTAAATATAACAAGAGCTGGCTTTGAATTAAACAACACGGAAGAAGGGTGTATGCTAACAGACTGTTTTTGAAGTAAAGTCAGATAGGTACCATCTATTTGACGTTCGGCACTGTTCATAAACAAACCTGATGACAAGGCCTTTCTAACGGAAGTGTAGTCAGCACCACAACTTTTAATGCTTAGATTTAATTGCAAACTCAACTCACGGAGCTGGTGACGTATTTGAAGAACATTTTTAATTGCCTTTATATTGACGAAATGCTCAATACACCATTGAATATTACCCTTTGCTTGCTTGTATGCCCTGCAATTTAAAAAAAGTTCACTAAAACCTATTCACTAACAATAATTAAAGAAAACAAATCTACAAAATAATTTGAAGAGAAAAACAAAAATCAAAAAAAAAAAAAAAAGTTTTGAAAATAATATTTTGCATTAGATAACTATAAAAAAAAGTTTGACTTTTTTTTGTTAACGTTTTTTTTTTATCCGGAAGTATTAAATAAATCCTAATTTTGATATAAAAATGTATAAATTATAGCTTTTCAAATAAAAACTATTACTTTAGAAAACATTAATATAATCACTATTGTTATTTGACAACAAAACAACACTAGTTTTTTTTGAGAACATAAATTTTACATAAATAATATCACTGTTTGATTGACATTAGTAATAATTGTTGGCTGATATCGTAATTTAATTACAACATCAGCAAAACAGTCGTACGATATCGCGCTGCACAATAATTTTAACAGTGTTGCATGACTTTTGTCTAAAATAACTTTGACGTCACCTTTATTTGAAAATATACACAATAGAGTTATTAGAATTCATTAGGCCGCGTGAATAAAAATGCTCTTACTCAGTGATTGCTCAGCTTTACGTGAATAAAAACTTTAACAGTTTTGCTAAAATTTTTATTCGCGTAAAGCTAAGCAATTTACTCAGTGATTGCTCAGCTTTACGTGAAGAAAAACTTAAGGAAAATTGCTGATGTTTAAACTCAACTAAAGCTGACCATTTACTGAGTAAAAGCAAATGCTCATTTTTACTCACCCGGCCTATTGGATTTTGACATGTAAAAGATTGCATCCGTATCGCGCCTAAATCTCCTAATGTTTAGAATTAACATAAATCAATATATTACAAAACGCATCTATATTATTAAACGCTAACACTTATTTATTTTAATCGCACTTTCTACACGTTAAAAGCTAAAAAAACTTTTTGATTTCAAAAGTAAAAAAAAAAATTTCTTTATTGAAATTTAGCTGCTTCCGGAATATAAAAATAATTTGTGTGTTATTAAAAGATTCAAATATTTCCTACTTTACAATCGTGCCATTTTAATCCTTTGGAACCATTATACAAGTTTTTGTGAATGCAAACATTTGAAACATATTTGCATATGGATATATTGCAAATATTATTTTTTAATATTAAAAAATAACGAGTTTATTGTCGATTTCTTGATTAAAAAAAAAAAAAATGACTTGACAATTTTAACCATTAAAACCAGCATCAACTTAAATTTTTGTTAAACATAACAACTAAACTTTTAGTTTTTTAAAGTGAACGCATCGTAGTAATTGATGATTAATAATTTATTTGATAATAATAAAGGTCCTGAAACACGTGAACAACAAAAACAAGAACAAACAACTGAAACTAATAATAAAGGTCCTGAAACATAATAAAGATCCTGAAACATGAACAACAGTTTGCTCCCTTTAAAAAAAAAAAGGAATTTACTAACTTAATTACTTTTTTCAAAAAGCAGTGGCGTAGACATAGCAAGAAAAAAAATACACCTAAAAAGTTAGCTCCCCGCTCTACCCCAAATGTGAGGGCAATGATTTAATAGAATTCATCGAAAGGTTCTAAGTTTCATTTCATCATCTTTTAACCTTATAAAGTTATGATCATGTAAAAGTTCTCCCCAAAATGAGGGGGTTGTAAATTTCATACGAAGGCAAAAAAGCAGGGTTTTTTTTAACGAAAATTGTACTTATTTAATAATTAATATTATGTTTGAAAGTAAACCAAATTTAACATATTTAGTAACGTTATAGCGAAAAACGTGATTTGAAATTATTAGATAATAAATTTACTGAAAGGTATCCGAGAAAAATATCCGAGAATGTAACAGAAATAGAAAACAAGCGAATTTTTTTTTCATACATTTGTTGCTTGAACAACCAAAATATAATTAATTTCTATTTTTTTTATTACAATTTTATTATTTATTCGTGAACATGACTGCTCACATAAAATACGCGACAAACTTTATCACTTTTGTTTTTGTACTGAAAAAAAAAAAAAAACAATGCTTTAAAATGTAAAATGATAAAAAAGAAAAAAAAGGGCTTTTTTCAATTTGTGAGTTTTATGTCAATTTTATGTTAAAAGACTTTCTCACAATTTGTGAGTTTTATGTCAATTTTAATTTAAAAAACTTTCTCACAATGTGTAATGGCTTTTTTAAAATATCCGTTGATAACGGATATTTTAAAACATTACTAAGCTAAAAAAAATCCTGGTTATTGTGCACGCTTTGTAAAACATGTTTTGTAAAAAATATTGGCTAAATTCTAGCGTTAATATTTTTGTGTAGGTTTGCTTATGAGATAAATTTTTTATTGCGTCAATAAAGGCATAAAATTTTTTTAGAAGTACAACTTTTGTTTAAAAAAAACTTATTGCGTAGTTTTATTACCGTCCCAGCGGGTACATTAAGTAAAAAAGACGTCTTTAAAACGTCTTATAAACGTCTTTTAAACGTTCAAAAGACGTCCAAAACGTTCCTCTAGACTTTCGCTAACAGGTGGTCGGCCCGGTTAGTGAATGTCTAAAGAGGGGGCATAAAAAGGTTTACCGCACTGGGTGACACCAACCCTAATGACGCCATGTTCATGCAAACTAGAATTGAGCATTGTCATGACTTTTTAACACTAAAAAAAAAATTAATTTATTGCATCATATTTATGGAAGGGAGGCCAACATTTTAAGTATACTTGTTCCTAGGCTCTAATCAAAGCGATTTTTTGCAAAACATTCTCATTTGACATAAGCATGAATACCTAAGGAAGTAGTAAAGTGTTTTTAAAATCGAGACTCGTTTTTCACATACAGTGTGGTTTTTTCTGATACAGTGTAGTGTTTTTTACACACAGTGTGATATTTTTTACATAGAAAATGGATTTTTTTGAGATAATAATTTCTTTCTGATACAGTGTGGTTTTTTTGATACGGTGATTTTTTTGCATTGCTCTGTAATTAAGAATGCTGATAATGTAGTATTCGACTTTTATAGTGAAAGCCAAGAAGTTTTTGATATTTGTCTTAGAGAAGACTTTGAAGTTAGTTTCTGTTGGTTTGTGTGTTTACGGTCCATGTGTCTCAGTGTATGTCTTTGCTTACTATTACTTATATTATATTAAAAATTGGTGTCATTCCTTTGATCAGATTTCTGTATGAGTGACACCATCCTAATAAATAATTAACTTATTACTATATTAATATTAGTTATTATTATTATTTTTTCATTTTAATTATTGTAAACATACTTATTATTACTATTACTATAATTTGTATAGTTTTTTTATCTTATGTTATTATTATATATTTTTGCTATTATTACTACTATTATTATTATCATTATTATCAAAACTATTGTAAAATGATTTGCGGAAAATAAATAGCTTGTTGTTGTTGTTGTTGTTGTTGTTCTAATTACTTTTATACAATTAATTTGATGACAAATTTAAATTGGTAAAAAAAAACATATCAACAATGTTTGTAATAACTTGAAGGGTTTCTAGAAAAATAAAACTCAAGTGTAATTATCTATGTATTGGACAGGACACACGTTTATAGCAATATCAAAGTTGAGGTGTAAATATTTGTTTTTACAACAAAAAGTAAACTGACAAACTATTTTAGTTAAAAACAAAACTAATTATATACATGAATATGTATATAATTAATAAATAAATTTCTCCAGATTTTAAAATAACTTTTATTATCTGTACTAATTAAATTTGAAAATTTAATTAGTAGAAGTAAAAAAAGTAAATTTATTTGTTTTTTCAGTACATTCTTTTAGACTTGAAACTGTAAAAGTAATTTAAAGCAACAGTTCGTATTTATTAACTTTTCCAAAAAATAGTTACATATCCGTTATAGAAAATTATATCAATGTTTCACTTTCATAATACTTGATTTCTGAAACTTTGATTAAAGTTTTGATTTTTAAATTTTGAGAAATATTGTGTATTTTTTAAATATTTAAGTTGTTAAAATATTTTTTTTTTTTTTTATTATCTAAAATTTTATTAAACAAGAAAATTTACATAGTTTTGAACAAAATTTGTACTAAAATTTAATGTTAAAAACATGAATTGTTTTTTATATAAACACTGTGATTTTTACAGAATACTCTGCAAATGCCTCCTAACTCACAACATTATATGGCGCTTTAAGCAGCTAGATATTACTATCTTTTGCTTTATATATATATATATATATATATATATATATATATATATATATATATATATATATATATATATATATATATATATATATATATATATATAAATATATATATATATATATATAAACTTGTCTTGAAAATACAAACCTAAAAAACAGCAGCATAGATATATGATCACCTTCAGTTGAAGTAAACTTAGCCAATACCTTTTTACTTCTTTCTCGTTGATTGGGCGGAATGTAAAAAACAGATTCTACTGTCATTAAAGCTACAATAGTAATTACTTCTTCTGTGCATCCATATTCATGAGCAGAAAGTATGCAAGCAGCAAGAGGTGGATCAAGAGGAAAAGCACACATAGTTTTACCTTTTTCTGTAATCTATGTTTAAAATTTCAAAGTTAAATTATTTCATATGAACTTTAATTAAAATATTAATTCTAGATAAAACTATCCATTTATATATATACATAATATATATGCTACACCAGGTAATAAATTACAAAATATTTTAAAATACTAAATAAAAAATATATACAATACAGAAATATAAAAAGTATATATAACAATTACAAGACAGGAGAACCTGAAGAAGAAAAAATCTTATCATCAACCTTTTAAAAAAAAAAAGGGTATTATTAGAAAAAATCATGTTATTTTATAGTAAATCTTGATTGACTATAAGTTCAATTATGTGGTGTTTAAAATTTTAGGTGGTATTGATTTCTGGTGTATAAACCAATTTAACATAATTTTTTAATAACAAAGTTAAATTAATTATATATCTAGGCATAGTGTTTGGAAATGTTTATTTTTTGTTTTGTTGTACTAACGGGAAAGCGGAATAGTATCAAAAATTAACTGATCGAAAAAATCATTAGTATCAAAAAATAACTGACCAAAACTCATTTTAATGATTAAGATCAAAAATGCGATTTTCAGATTAATATCGAAAAGTTTTTATATCAAAATTCACAAATGTGGAACAATATCGAAAACAATAAAAACGGAACAAGATCGAAAAATTATTTAACTATTTAACATCGAAAATGTGTCTTTCTGATTAATATCGAAAAATTTTTATATCGAGTTTCACAAATGTGGAACAAAATCGAAAACAATAAAAATGGAATAAAATTTGAAAATTCAATTTAATTATTAACATCGAAAATGTGATTTTCTGATTAATGTCGAAAACTATAAAAACAGGATAAGAACGAAAACTCATTTTAATGATTAACATCAAAAATGTAATTTCGCATTTAATTCTTTTTTTCACCATTTCGATATAATTCAGGAAATTCCCGTTTCGATATTGTTCCTTTTTTCACCATTTCGATGTAATTCCTTTTTTGAATTTTCCATACTATTCCTTTTTTAACAATTTTGATATTATTCCGATAAGTCCCTTTTCAATATTTTTCTCTTTTGAGCTGTGTCGAGATTATTTTGCTTTTCAGATTTTCGAAACTATTCCTTTTTTCACAATTTCGATATATTCTCTTTTTCGATATTATTCCAAAAAGTCCATTTTCGATATTATTCTTTTTTCACAATTTCGAGATTCTTCTATTTTTCGGATTTTCGATACAACTCCTTTTTTTACTATTTTGATGTTATTCTCTATTTCGATGTTATTCCGGAAATTCTCTTTTCAAGATTAATCAGTTTGGCTGTTTTCGATACTGTTACTGCTACCCGTACTAACAACTGTTATATTATTCATATTATTATATATAGAAACTATTCTTATCCTATAAGAAAGTTAGCATTTTAATTTTGATAACCTAAATAAATTAGTATATAATACCATGCAAATTTAATATCAGACTTTAAATGCTCAAAAAAATAAGCTATAAATCTATCAAGATTGATTACTTATTTGAGCATTTGTATATTGTGTAGTAATTTAGTCTTACATTGTTTGTTTGTTATATTTGTCAAAAAAATATATATTGCTAGTAGGCCCTTATTAAAAAAAATGCACTATACTGAACTTAATTTCAAAGAAAATTTAAAAATTTTGCATTATTGCTATTTACAGAGTTTCCCAGATCACCTTCACCTGATGATTCATACTTTATTTATTTGTAATTTATTTTTTATCTGCATTTTTTCTAATTACATGATTTATTTATCTAGACATTTTCATATAGCACTATATCAGAACAAAATTCTTTAACATGCTTTGTTTTTCAAGTTTAACCTTTAGACATGATCTTATGGCAAAAGGAACGTTAAACTTTTTCCATTTTGCTGATTTGGTTCAGTGGTTTAAATAAATGGGTGACTAAGGTTTTATTTCTGCTCCCTGTAAGTAGAGCTTAGTCATAATTGATTTCCAACAAGAAGAAAAAAAGAAATCACTCAATAATTTAAAGATATCCTTTATCTTTATATATATCTATATGTATATATATAGATATTATGGTGCTTTAAAACCCTTTTAGATAAAAAACCACTACTCAGTGTTTTTAATGTGGTGTGGTTATCTTTTGTGTTAATCTATTTTTAGATTTCACTGCAGAAAAATTACAGCTTTTATATCAAAATTAAAAAACATGAACTTCTATAAATTTCTTGATATCCTTGTTTAAAACTTTTTTTTCTTATAGATTTATATAAAATTTTCCTTCATTTGAGTGATAATTTGACCTTTTAAATATAAACATTTTTTAAACAACATTAGGGACCTGTTGAATAGAAAATGAGCTTAAGCATGAACTAAATATTGGACAACTAAACTTAAATTAGACATGAAGCTTATAAAAAAGTTTGGCATACAGGTCTTCTCCGTGAGCTTGTTTCAAATGGCAAATCTGGGATTATTAAATCATTTCTTTCTAACAGTCTTATCTATTTCCAGTAACTTCTGGGGTACCTTAAAGTTCTATCTTTGGTTCTGTTTTGTTTCTTATCTACATTATTGATCTTCCCGCCAACCCTATATATAAAGTAGCTCTTTTTGCTGATGACTTAACTTTTTATTCCTGTCTTGACAAAAAGTCTTCTCTTTTTGATCACTTAGAACAGGCAGCCGATCTTGAATCTGATCTCACTTCTGTAACAGATTGGGGCTTAAAAATTTTGGCTTATAAGTTTTAACTCCAACAAAACTCAGTTATTTACTGCAAACAACTACCACAATACTGTCAACATTCCTATATTAATAAATGGCAACCCTCTCTCTGAGTCCTCTTTTTTACATCTTGGATTATCATTTACTACTGACCTTTCATGTAAACAAAATATACAATTGATTGCTAAATTAGAATTCCGCCATCATGATTGTCATTTTCTTACCCTTAATTCTATTCTCTACCACTACATATTTATTACTTGTCTCTGTATGGAATGCTATCGTTATATTTGGGCTGTCATATTTGGTCTTTCCCATTGTCATAAAGTTGCATTTCTTTCTCTTTTCTACAAATTCTATTATGGTCGCTGCTCAAAAGAGTTATCATCTCTAGTTCCATCAACAAAAACTCATTCTCGCTTGACTCGTTATTCAGTTAAGTCTAATTAAATACAATAAATGTAATTAAATACAATAAATTGACTCATCATTCTAATTAAATACAATAAATTGACTCGTCATTCAGTTAAATCTAATTAAATACAATAAATGTAAATAAACAATGTTTATTGTGTCAATATACACTAAAGCCAATAAAGATAAAATTGAGGAAGATAAAATCATCTAAGAAGTTTTTATACATAACTGCTTCAACTGTGTTAACCTTTAGGCATACCAAAATAAAAATAATTTCAGTAAATTTTAGTATTAATTTTCCTATTTAAATCAGGATTCAAAATATGAACTTAGATATTGTCATTAAAATTAAATTTAGTAGCTTAAACAATAAATTTTTGAAAATTTTACAAAAAAAACAAAAAAAAAACAGACCCCTTTTTTCTCCAAAAAAAACAAGAACCAAAAAAACGCATCACATCTCTCTCTCTCTCTCACTCTCTCTCTCATATATATATATATATATATATATATATATATATATATATATATATATATATATATATATATATATATATATATATATATATATATATATATATATATATATATATATATATATATATATATATATATATATATATATATATATATATATATATATATATATATATATATATATATATATATATATATATATATATATATTAGGGTGGGTCATAAAATTTTTTTTTAGAGTTGCTAACCTGGCTATGGTCTAAAAAGTTGTTTTTTTATGTACTAATTTAGGAAAGTATTTACTTTTATGGATTGAACATTGTCTTCCACCCGCAACTATAATTACAAAAATTAGCAGGCTCTATTATTATTCAAAAAAAAAGTTTTTCAAAATTATGTGATGTAGGTACTCAAATAAAGCGAAATTTAATAAAAATTTCAAAAATAATAATTTTTTCATATAAAAATTATTATTTTAGATTTTATTGCATAACAACTATAGTTTTTAAACTAAAATTGAAAAAGGTGCATTTTTACATGTTTTTTTAATAACAATTTTTTTCCGAATTTGATTTTTATAAAACGATTATTATTTTGAATTTATTTTATAAAATATCGCTTCTTTTGAGTACCAGGTTGACCTACTTTTGAAAATTTTTTTTTTTCAAAATATTAGGGTACCGGTAATTTTCCTAATAAAGTTGGGCCCTTTAAATCTATCACAATCATTCTCATATTTGATAGTACCAATATTAATAACTATTAGCAATGTTTAGAGCCTGTAACAAGAAAAAAAATTTTTATGACCCACCCTAATATATATATATATATATATATATATATATATATATATATATATATATATATATATATATATATATATATATATATATATATATATATATATATATATATATATATATATATATATATATGTATATATATATATTTGAAAATTATTTAAAACATTTGAAAATTATTTAAAAACCTTTTGAGAATTTAGTGATTCTACAGCACCTAACATGACCAATTGATTCAAAGCATACTCAATTGCACATTGAGGAGGAGATTCCATAAAATCAAATTTAATAACATCTTTTAAACCAAGTGCTAACAGTTGCAGCAAAACTCCTTTAAAACAGAAGTCAAAAACAAACTTCAACTCAAGTATGTAAAATATCTGCAGTTCTACAGACTTAAAGGAATTTTAATAAAAATACATATTACATGTATAAGTTTATATGCATGCTCTATGAAACAATAATTAAACCTCTAAGATTGCACCTCTTGATTTCAGGCACAGTGTAGTCGTCTAATGCTTCAAATGTTTTCTCAGGATATAATCGATAACAAATTCCAGCACACTCTCGTCCAGCTCGACCACTTCGTTGACGAGCTTGAGCTTTGGAAATAGGCTGAACTTTAAGAACTTCAAGTCCTGTAGTTGGATTGTGTGCTGAAAAAAATGTAAATATCAATATAATTATATGAAAAAACAATGTTCAAAAAATCTGTACACAATGAGAAAAAAACAATTTTCGATAAAATCCAAAAATAATATAAAATTTAGCTAAAACTCATTCAAAAATACAAATATTACAATGGATTATTATTATTATAAAATATAATTTTTTATTCCAATTAAATATATTAGGAAAATTACTACACAATACAACTATCTAATACTTGTATAACGATATACATATTATGACATATTGTGCATATTATATTTTTACCTTATGTTATTGAGTCTTAAGCTCCAAAAAATCTGCTAATTTTATAGAGAAAAAAAGTTCTCTAATATATCATTAAGCCTTATCATTAGGCCTTATAATATATCATTAAGCCTTATCATTAAGCCTTATAATATATCATTAAGCCTTATCATTAAGCCTTATAATATATCATTAAGCCTTATCATTAAGCCTTATAATATATCATTAAGCCTTATCATTAAGCCTTATAATATATCATTAAGCCTTATCATTAAGCCTTATAATATATCATTAAGCCTTATCATTAGGCCTTATAATATATCATTAAGCCTTATCATTAAGCCTTATAATATATCATTAAGCCTTATCATTAAGCCTTATGACTTAGGAATCAAAAGTAACCTTAATAAGGCTTAGAAATCACAAGAAATCTTAGTATGACTTAATAAGGAATAAAAAAAAAAATAGGTAAAATAATAAAAATAACAGATCAACAACTAAAAAATTTTTTTTCCTTTTCTCTATGAATTATAGAACAAAAAAGCTCTAGGATTACTGCCTCAACAAAAATAAGAAATTAATTCTTTATAGGCTATTTCATCTATGGTTAAAGTATATTATCAGAGAACATTAAGACATCTCTCTATCTTATAATTTGCATGTGCATTTTTTGTGTGTTTTTTTTGTGTTTCAAATTTTAATTCAGTAAACCAATAAAAAAAATTATCAAAACTTACAAAAAATTTATTAATGAAAAGAATTGAAAAGGAAGCATCAAATGTAAATTTGACGCTTTCTTTTCAATTCTAAATCAAACTTCACTTTTTTTTTTTAGTTTATCCGATATGCACAGCTGTTAATTTTAATGTTTTAACAATTTTTAAAGTTTCTAAAATTTCTGTCACCACTTTCATCAAAAGATATAAAACATTTTATTATTGAAAAAAAAACTAATATAATGTTGTCTGGAAACCAATTATTTTTAGACTTAATTTATTATTTTATTTCAGAAGCTTTTAGAAGCTACTAAAAAATGTTCACTATTTATTTTAAATTTATTCCAATTTTTTTAAAAGCATTATAAAATTATAGAACTTATTTTAATTTGACAATATTTTTAATGACTCCATACTAAAAAAGAAAACAAAAGTAAATACTATTAAATAAATATTTGAATGTAATTTATTAACTATATTAAAATAATTTTTCAACTATATTAAATAAATTTAATAATTTATTTAGTAATGGTCATTTGATTAATCAAAATACAGATTGAAGTAAAGCAGAACAAAATACTAAAGCAAAAAACATATTATATAACTCAAAAGTTTCTTATATTATTTAAATTTAATATACACTAAAATGCTATATATATATATATATATATATATATATATATATATATATATATATATATATATATATATATATATATATATATATACATATGTATATACCCACACACTGTTTACTTGTCACTGTTTCACTTTTACTTCCACTGTTTCACTTTCAAATGATCAACAATAATCAGAAAAATTATATATAGAGGAGACCAGGGCTATTTGGCAGCAGAGGCAAATCGACTAACTGTGTTTATCTTCAAAGCATTTCACTTTTTTTTCAGAAAGTGCCAAAAATTACAAAGAACCTTTCTAACTGATCATTTCATCTTTTACTGTAGTATTGTTAGGATTTGAACATGCGCATGGGAGATATTGGGATTCATGTGTCAAATAATATATAATATAATATAATAGAAAGCTGTATTAGCTTGAAAACTATGAGTGAAGTTAATAGTAATTAATTTCAATTTGACAGCATATACATTGTGTAGATATTTTCTAGGTAAATAAATTAAATCATAAATTACGAATTGTATAGCTCTAGATATTTATCAATGTGAGTTTTGAATAAGTTCAAGCTTTCGCTTTTGTTGATAAAAACTGGTAGTTTGTTCCACATTGATGAGACTCTTGGTTATTGGTTAAAGATGTTGGTTAGTAATTGATGAAGAAGATTGCAGTTTAAAAAAAAAATTTCTGATTTTAAAATTATGGCCCCTGATACGCAGCAAAAATATTATCATCTAGTTCTATATTATTTATTTTTTTAAATAATTTGTACATTTAAATGCGTTTGCCTGAAAAATTCAAGATGGGGTCTTATTAATGTTACATATAGCATCTTAAACATTTTTTTGTCAATGTTATGAAATAATTTTTTCAACATTCCAAGCATTGAATAAGCTTTTGATGTATAATTGGTTATGTGACTTTTTTATTTGAGATTTGATGACATAGCAATTCTAAAATCTTATTCGATATCAGAGACTGCTATTACTACTTTGACACCTAGTTTATAAATATAGCGAAGGCTATTTTTTCCAAAGTGCATAGTACAACAATTTTCAATTACAATTATTTTGTAATTGCCAGATCTCTGACCATTTAAGGGCTTGATTAATTTCATTCTGAAGCAATTGACCATTTTCAGAGCTACTTTTCCAATTTGTTGATATATATAATGAATAAGATTAGAGATATTACCAATCCTTGGGGAACACCATTTGTTATCATTTCCCAGTTTGATGCTTCATTACTTAGTATCACTTATTGGTGTCGATTAGTTGAAAAGTTGCTAACCTAGTTGCATATGACATTTGATATTCCATATGACGTAAGTTTGATTAATAATCATTCACGAGGTACCGTGTCAAAGGCTATAGTAAAGCCAAGAAATAAATATCTACTATCTACTTGCAATAGTTTTTTTGAACAAAAAGTTAACTTTTGCATTATTACTTCTTTTTACAAAGAAAATGGTCATATGAAAAAAAAAGTTGTTGAAAAATTCTAGATACAATTGGTTTACTATTTCAAGTCTTTTTTTTTCTTCAATAGCTGCCATTTTTAAAGATCTATAAACTATTTATTGAAAAAATTTATGGGGTTAGTTGGCAAAATTTTCATGGAGCAAGTTGGTTCACAGCATTTACTATGGAAAAAAATATATTTATAAAACTAGTTTTTATTTTATTTTTAATTTTTAAACATATTGAAAAAATATACTTTTTACAAATATATTAAAAAAAAATTTTAGGTCCTTTTTTAAACGGATAAAATGTAGGCTATTGTTCACTGCTCCAAGAGGGTTTAGGTTGAAGATACCTGGAATTTTGTTTGCAGAAATATCAGAAAGACTCAAATAACTGTAGCCAAAAATTAAAATTGTACCTGCTCCTTAATTGAAATATCATGTTTTTTTTATTGGCAACTAATTATGTACCGAAACTTTGTTGTCTTTGGCACTACAGATAAATTTCAAAATATAACAAGAATACATTCATTTTTTAGAATTATGTTATATATATTTGCATATATGTAAACATATATATTTAAAATTTAAAATGTGTGTGTAAAGCATTTTATGTATTTTAGCAGGAAAAAATTAAATTTGAAAAAAAGTAAATGAATCTGAGAAAAAAATCATCAGGAGTGTAAGGTAAAAACATAGAAAAAATTATTATGTCAAAAGTTGTTTTACTATGTCAAAAATTGTCAAAAGTTGTTTTATTATGTCAAATTGTCAAAAGTTGTTTTATTATGTCAAAAATTGTCTGAACAGGTAACATCAAAAATTCTAAAAACAATTTTTGGGGATGAAAAACAGGGTAAGGTTAAATCAATACATGGAATCATTACATGTACACCTTAGAGAGTATCTCTCCAAAAAATATTTAATATCAAAAAAATGTCTGAATGTGTAATTAAAAGTATGTTGACTGAAGTAAGAAAAGATGTTGCTCAATCAAGATTTGAAACCAATGTTGGAGATTGGTGTGAACAGAAAGTCCCATTCACTAAATCAGTTTTATTGCATTCAGCAGTTGACATTTCAGCAAGGTGCTAAACATACAGAGGTTCAAAAAGATGTAGTATATGTGGAAGATATACCTATGCTTGTTGATGAAATATGCAAACAAATAGATACTTCTCATTAACCTTAACTAAGTTCTTAAAAGAAAAAAACTATTATTCAGCATGGCTACAATGATGGAGAACTAGACCTAATTGTCAAAAAGTTATAAGGTCATTTGTGGTATTTGTAGTGACTGAGAGTTGTTTTGAAAAGACATTAGATCTGTCTTATGGTTACAAAATTAGAGCTTTTATCGACTCCATGGACTACATGAACAATTATGTTGAAGTAAGGTTTAACATCAGTATGTCACTTGGACGGAAGTACCATTTTATTAAATATCACTTAAATGATTATTTGGACCGCCATCAGATGTCTCTCGGTCTGACATAAGAAAAAACCTTAGAAGCTGTTCACAAGAACATTAATAAGACTATTAAGAGGTTTAGTATCTCGGAAAGTAATCTTTCTCATGGAATAAAACTGTAAAGAATGGCTGAATCATACAGCTCAATGAGAGTATAAAGGTTATGAATTGGATAACAGTTGGTTAAGATGAAGAACTTATATATATATAAACTATTATAATTTCCTAAAAGAGATTAAAGGAAACGATTGTCCTTTTAATCTCTTTTTTCTTTTTTTTTTTAAATTTATGTTGGAGGTATGAAAAATTATAAAAAAAGATGTTTTGACAGATTCGTAAAGAGTAATACTTTAGTAACATTGATTATCCAGGTCATATTTTAAAAAACTGGAAAATTGTTTTGGTAAAATATTCGAAAAAAATCTGGAATATATATTCCCTTATATTCCTTTTAACTTTGCTTTTAGCTTAGATGTTTAAATTTTATTTTAAACTTTTATTAATTTTTGTATGAGTAATAAGTGTAAAAGAAAAAAAACAAACAAATATATTATAAAAATATGTACCTAAACTTGTATGCATGGAAAACATTTTGGATATATAGAAAAACTAAAAGTTTTACTAAAAGTTAAAAAATATCCAGAATTTTGGAAATATCCGGAAAAAGAAAATCCTTGTTGTAAAGAGGGCTTTAACTTATTTTCAAACAATAATCCTTTAATAAAATATAGTAGCAATTTTTGTTTACTTAAAAATCAAATGGTTTAAAAAAATGAAATATATATGTATAAAAATAGCTTTTTATAGCATTTTTATTGTTTGTTTATATATTTTGAATTAAATTGTTAAATATTTTGAATCATAAAAACAACATTCAATGTTATTTTTATTATAATACTTTTTCTAATATAATCAATCACTTCTTTTCTCTTAGGCATTTACGGCTAAATATGTTCCACTAGTGACTAGACTTACTGGTTCTAGTTGTAAACCTTATAGAGATAATTCAAATGGGGTAAGAGTCAAATGAAAATATCTAATCTCTTTCTTTATTTAACAAAGACATAAACTGTATGAAGTTGGAATTATTGTTGAGCATAATGAAAATCAATACCATATTAAAGTAAACATTATCACTCAAGAGGAAGGGACCATTTTGAAAAAAAAAACAAAGGATTACAGCATTCGACACAGTAAAACTTTATTTTGGATTGCATGTTCGAATGTTAGGTCCATTCAGGTTTTAAATGATTTGCTCAGGAGCTTTGATCAATTTAAGAAGGGAGTTGTCCACACGGCAGCAGATGTCTTAACTTGGAAAGAACCTAAAATAAACAAAAACACAACATTGCTGAAAGAAGAAAAAGCAAAATTACAAGAAATTATCCAAGTTAAAACAGGAATAAAATGGGACTTTGCAGAATTCACTGGACAAGGGGGGAATATAACATCTGGAAATTTTTCCAAAAAACCTTTACACAATACTGTACTGTGAAAGGTAATTTTTTAATTTAAAAGAGATCACATATCAAGTCAAACAGACCATAAACTAGTTAAAAAGTATGGCTTGCTTCTTACCACAATTCTGAGAGCAATGTCATTTGGCAAAAAAATTAATATTGAGCTATACAAATAAATGTGTCAGGAGCTAAACATCTTAATTCTACAAAAATTTTATTGGGTAAGTATAACTCTAATGCTGCACAAAATTCTTGCTCATAGTTGAGAGTTGATAGAAAGAAATGATTCCACCGGTTTGAAATCTTGGAGTGAAGAAGAAATGGAAGCTAATAATAGGCGTCTCAGATACATCAGGGAAAAACTCAAGAAAATTATTAATTGGTCAATATAGAAGATTGCTCTAAAGCAATTTGGCTGGGGTCTGACCCATTAGTTGCGGAAGAACAGAGCAAAGGGTTCTTTTGCAAAAACTGTTTAGATAGAGGGGATTCTAAATGCTCATGTATGCACAGAAGTGCATCAGCTGATAATATTTTAAACAACGTTTATGTTTGTAAATAAATTATTTTTGTAACACATATGTATTTGTTAATTTTTTAAAACCAAATTCTTAGACTTTAACCTCAAGATGGCCATTTTAAAACTCTTTTTTTTTCAAAAACTGCTGATTCAAAAACCGGGCCTCTTAAACATTTCAGCAAATGAAAGCTTTTATTTTGTAGTTTGGAAATCATATAAGGTCATATAAAGTCATATAAAAATCATATAAAGTCATATAAAAATCATATAAAGAAATCATATGGCACTTTTAGCAGTTTTTGAGATAATGACTAAAATGTTCAAAAACTACAGCAAAATCATGTGCAAAAATTCACAGTTTTTATAATAAAATTTATAATTTATAATAAAAACTTATAATGAAATTCTAATTTTATCTAATTTTCTTCCTGAAATACTATTATCATTAGCCAGAAAAATGTATTTTTATGTAGGTTCATTTTCCCTTATTGTTAAATAATAATTTTCCAAGTTTTAGATAAATAATCTTTTTTTTTTTTTCATCACTTTTTTTTGAGTATACTTAAAATATTTCGAGTATAACTAAGTATTTTTTTTTTCCAAATTGTTCAACTTTGCATTGCCGCAATTTTAAATAGACAAAAAAAATTTTTTTTTTTTAACTAAAATCTGCATCCCATTTCAGTATATAAAAATTAAATTAAACTTTAATTTCAAAACAATCAATATTTTACTCATGTCCACCATTTAAACCACTGTGCAGAAGGGACCTAAGAAAATTTTGTTGATTATAAAGTTAAATATGTTATCTATGTAATTGACTTTAAGACTGCACTTTAATATTTACAAAAAAATTTAGCCGGGCTACAGAGCTCAAAGAGTAAAATAAGAAGCAACTAGCACCGGCTTCACCTATACATAAAATAAAAATTATGTATTTTTATAAAATATTTACAACTAAAAATTTAATTGATGTTAATTTAAATTCAAAAAGTAAATTTACTTTTAGCCTTAACCATTCCACAATCTACAACATGTTTGATTCCAGGAATGGTAACCGAAGTTTCAGCAATATTTGTTGAAATAATTATTTTACGGTAGCCCAATGGTGGATTGGTAAATGCTTTAATCTGTTCATTATTAGGTAGTGAAGCAAAAAGTGGACAAACTAATATCTTTCCAAAACCTAAATATAAAATTACATTACAATTTAAATAATTTTTTAAAAACTTTCTTTTCCCCTATAAGCAGGTAAAAATTCTACAACTATGTTGAAAACTACAAAGAAGTTTTAAGTTGTGTAATGTAAAAAAAAAAATAATCGATATATATCTTTAAAGTTTGGCATTTAAATTTATCATTTGTGATAAAAAAAATAGCTCTTAACAACTCTTTGTCTATAAAATTGACAAAACCAAGTATAATATATTAAAATCATTTACTTTTATTGAAGAAACTAATTAAATTTTATCATTAAAAAAAAACAAAACACAAAAACACAACTTAATAGATTGTAATTATTTTATTTTTATTTTTTTACTGTTTACATACACCAACTAACAAATAGGAAGAACATGCTAGGAATGCTACTATATACACTGAAAAAAAAAAAAAAAAAAAAAAAAATATATATATATATATATATATATATATATATATATATTATATTTTATATTTTCTGAAACTTAAAAAAATTTTAATGCACATCAAAGAGTACTACTGTGTATGATTTTACCAAAGGATTATTGTAAAACAATAGTCCTTTGGTAAAATTAATGTTGGTTAACTGGGCAAGCCATTCAATCACATTTTTTATCATTATTTCTAAAATAGTCTTTTGTTACAATGGGGTTATATTTCAAGTCATTGTCGTGTTGAAATATGAAATTGTTTCTGAATTTAAATTTACAAGCAGAGGCCTTCCAATTCTCTTTAAAATAATTGTATACATATTGGCTTTCATAGTTAATTCAGTACTCCATGAGCATGTCCATATATTTTTTTTTTGCAATTAATTGTCTTTATTTCATAAGTCTTGAAGTCACATAGGGTTTTTGCAAAATACTTTACTGCGAAAACCTTGCTCTCATGAAAACTATTTGGATAGTTTGAGCTAAGAACATGATTTCATGTTTTAAACCTTGTCTGCAATCCTTTGAGCAGCTTAAAATCTGATTTGTATCTGAGGTGTTTTTCTTTTTACGGACTCTTCCAGCATATTACAGCCTTAATGTAGCTTCACGAAGTGGTGTAGCTTAGTTTTGTTGCTGCAGAACTCTTTCAGCCATTTCTTTTTTTTTTTCAGCAATATCAGTTTTAGTTTCTTTCAAATTATGGTTTTTCACAATATTGCTAACTGTTTGAAAAGTGGTTCCAATTCACTTATTAACTTCTCTTTAGGTCTTACTTTAATTTACCAAATCTACAACAACAACAACAAGTTTCATTGAGATATGCATGTATGTTTGTATGCATGTATGTATGCATGCAGCCTTCAGAATTAGAAAAAATAATGTCAGCAAATAATTTCCTGACCTAAAATTATTTTAGGTCAGCATCAGGTCAGCATAAAATTTAAAAACAGGGTTTGGCAAATCAAAAAACTACAAATATTTAGCATAAAATTTGGATAAAAACAAATGCTGTATGTATGTAGTATGTATGTATGTATGTATGTATGTATGTATGTATGTATGTATGTATGTATGTATGTATGTATGTATGTATGTATGTATGTATGTATGTATGATTGTATGTATGTATATATGTATGTATGTATGTATGTATGTATGTATGTATGTATGTATGTATGTATGTATGTATGTATGTATGTATGTATGTATGTATGTATGTATGTATGATGTATGTATGTATGTATGTATGTATGTATGTATGTATGTATGTATGTATGTATGTATGTATGTATGTATGTATGTATGTATGTATGTATGTATGTATGCTTACATATGAATTGCTAACTTGAAAAAGGGGACATGTTATGTGAATTTTTGCAGGACATGTCCCCTTTTTCAAGTTAGCGATTCATATATAAAGGTAGGATTAATTATATCTGTTTGTAAAAAGTTATTACCATTACAAAGCACAATAAAAGATTATCTCTGAGCTTCATAAGGATTTTATCAACATATGGGAGTCATCAAACATTTACAAATAAAATTAGGAAAGAAACTTATTTGGCTTATTTATCAACTCCATATATATGCCATAGAGGCATCTTATAACTAAATTTAGTGGTAAAACTAATTTTGCACATGAAAATCAAATTTTTTCAAGATATTAGGTCATAATTTTAGTGACATAAGAAGACAATTTGCCCAAGCAAATTTTTTTAAATTTAAAATTAAAAAAAGTTTGCTTTTTTTAATTTAAAACTAGATTTGAATTCTCTATAAATTTTTACGTTTAGTTACTCCTAATATTTCCTAAAATCTACACACACTAATGAATTATTATAAATCTACACACACTAATGAATCATTATAAATATTCACACACTAATAAATTATTATAAATCTACGCACACTAATGAATTATTATAAATCTAAACACATTAATGAATTATTATAAATCTACACATACTAATGTAATATTAATCTTAGCCTTATATATTATATGTCATATATAAATAAATTTATATGTTTATACATACAAACAAATATGCTTGTTGTGCCAATAAATAAATACCAAACATATATAAACATATAAATTAAAGTTATTAATTGCAAAAATGTTTATCTAGTTTCCAGACTACCATTAGACTATTTATCAAAATATATGCTGAAATCAATGCTCATCAATTTTCCATGTAAATTATAATGTAATTGAAACATTATTTAATTTATATACATTTTCAATTTTAAAAACATCGAACAATAACAATTGTATAAAGAAAATATAACTCTAAATTTAGTCAGGGCCCTTGTCACTCAAAGTTTATGAATTAGTTAGTTAAAAAATGCATTTCTTTTTTTTTTATTTAAATCTATTCTGAAAAATTAATTAAAAATTAAAAATAGAAAAAGCTTTTTAAATTATTTTCCACTGGTTTAGATCAATAAGATAATATAGATAAACATTCTAGCAACGTCTCTGCAACATTCTAGCAAGTCTCTGCAACATTCAGTGCTGGAGCTAGTTGGTTCAGTCTATAAAACTCAACTTTATTGAGGTCCTGGTTATATTTTGAAGTACTGGATAAGTTTGCCTCTATGCCATTTATCCTCAAGTGATTGAATATTGATGGCGGCTAGTTTTTGACTATACTTTAGAGGCTTGAGGCATAAGTTGCTCTTTCTTTAAGAGTGTCAATTTCTCTGTGATAATATGACTAACAATTATTTTTTGTTAACACCCATAACTAGCATAACATTTTTATCTTTATTTTGTCATGATTTAGCCAAAAATTAAAACCATTTGCTAAAGTTTTTTTCTTTTTCTTTTATTTTTTAATTTTATTTTATTTTAGCTATTTAATTTTATTTCATTGATTGCTTAAATTTTTAATTTTAATTAATTGATTGTTTAAACTTTTACATATAATTAGAATTAAAAAATAGACAAAATACTTTAATTTTTTTTAATGGTTGTACAGTATATAACTAAACTCTGTATAAATATACTAGTTCTACCTCTAAACTTTTCTTCTGAAACTGTAAAGCCTAAGCATGCTTTTACCTAAAAAGCATTGGCTTTAGGCTCTGCTTATCTAAACCATCTTAACCATCCCTGGTGCATAGTGGGTGCCGTTCCTGGACTTTTTTTCATTCCCAGGATCCCGGATTGAAAATTTGAAAGATCTCATGATTCCCTGGGAACCGGGAAATTTTTTAAATGTCAAAAATCAAATTTTTAAGAATTTTTTTCTGAAAAGAAAATTATAATAAAAAAAAACATTGATTTATAAATTTAGAAAGTTTTATTTCAAGTTTTTAAAATAAGTTTTCAAAAAACACAAGACATCAAGTTTTAATTCAAGTTTTTAAAATAAGTTTTCAAAAAAATACAAGACATCAAGTTTTATTTCAAGTTTTTAAAATAAGTTTTCAAAAAACACAAGACATTAATTGAATGGTCTGATAGACCTACTCTTTTCTTTGTTACAATGTTACTTGCAGTAGAAAAAACTTGTTCAGATTCTGTCGATATGGGTTTTATTGTCATTATGGAATCATAAATTTTTTTTAAAGTTTTAGTTATTGTACCTGTTGCTGCAAATAATTTCATCTTCCTTTGTACAGATGTTGTTTTATCAGGTTTTGCTACTTCCATAGTTTTTTGGGATTTTATTATTGCACTCTCCCAAGACTTTTTCAAATAATCATTTGTAGTTGATGATGAAAGTAAAATAGAATAGTTTGCGTTTGTTGTTGGTACATTAATTGTGTTGCCTAAATCTAAAGTACTACCAATGATAATTTCACGATCATCAGGAAAATATTGGACTAGTAAATTTTTTGCTAATTTAGATACTGCTAAAACTGATGATAGAGCAAAAAAATTTCCATTACTACATTCATTTGTATTAGATTTTAAATTTTCTGGATTTTGAAGAAACATTGCAAGCAAAATCAAATCTTTTGATCACATTTCTAATAATCTTTTCTGTAGGGCTTCTAAGACATTTTTTGATAAGGTACCAGGTAAATCTCTAATGGAATTAAAGAAAAACTGCATGACTCCTTCAGCAGTTACAAGATTACAATCTCTTGCACTGAATGCTTTAACTGCCATTTGCACCGGTTTTTGGATATTTAGTAATTCCTGCATCATATTAATCTCATTTTCATTCAAATTTATCTGGAAGTTTAAGTCTATTAGAAATTTTTTAATACAGGATTTCAACAAAAGATAACGCTCTATCATTGGAACAATACTGTTCCACCTAGTTGGAGAATTCAACATAAGATTCAGTTCTTTTCCATAATCCATTTTAACATATTTATAAGAAGACAGTTTTTTACCGCTGATTTCTTGAAAAGCTTCACAATTTTGTAAACATTGTTCAAAACTATTTTAAAATCTTCCAGTTTTTCTAAAATGTATTTATTTCCAAGTAACTCTTCATCAGCATACCCTTCTATTTGTACATCATCCATCTTTCCACTTGTACATCATCATCTTCCACTTGTACATCATCCATCTTTCTACTTGTACATCATCATCCTC